ATGGAGACTGTTACAGTAAATAAAAGCGACTGGGTTCATGGGATATAAAGGGCAGAGCTGACTAGTGGAGAATTCTGTGCAATTCTAAAATTACCATGTTGTTGTGTATTGGGAACCATCTGGCCATGTCATGCTTTTTCACCTTCTTCCAAAATCCTCCTACACTCTGCTTTTCTTTCATCTAATATTTAATACACTGTACCCCACATTCAATACAAACACTTAGTGTCTGGCTGTTGTTATTTTACACAAGCAAATGCTCAGTTTTCTAATAAGATATTGTGAAAATCCCTTCCTAGGCCTTAGTTTCTTCAAGTAAATGAGCAATCCAGGAAGGAATTATTTTTACAGGATACTCCAATGCTTTGAAGGTAATGAAAGACTCAAATTTCCAAATGTAATATATGAATATTAAGAGTATATTTGCCAAAGGACTTGATAGTCAACACTATTTAAAGATATTAAAATTTACTTAAGAACTACTTTATATGGTGGTTGGCCATTTTTGTTTAAAATAATAATCTTATGAATCATGAGTCATGAGAAGTATAGAAATGTGTATGCCACCCTATGTTGTAGTATTGGAAGATAATATTCTAAACTCTTCATCTGATTAAATTATGAACACTTTCTAGAAATAAATAATATGGTTACAATCTCACTTTTTGACTGAGACTAAAATGAATAAATGAATAAAAAATTTGATCCCATATCAAGTAGTTTTAAATTGTGATATTTAAAATTTGTTTTGATATTTATCAAGGTCATCATAATATTGAAGTAAATTCTTGAGAAGTTATTTTGAATCTATTTTCTCAGCATATATGCATTCAACAACTTTCAAATCAAAGTATTTAGTCCATTATTCCTACTGTGAATTAAACAATTGACTGAGAAATCAAATAATCTGCCCAACTGAGTTTTTAAAATTTATGAAACATTCAGATGTGATCATTCACTCAATAATCAAATCTATTCCTTATTCCTTAATTTACAAAATGGTAATTCAAGAGTAATAACACTGCTTTGGAATAATTCCCCTTCTATGTTAGCCCTATATCAAACGATCAGGTTTAATAAATATATATTAACTCAAAAAATGTTCTAATTAATAACATTTTGAGTTATGGTCTACCACCATACAAATGTTAATGATATTTTTCATTAGTTGAACTATCTTAAATCAGTAACATACTTTGAACACTGTGAAACCTGACTCAAGCTTTCTTACTTTGGTGTCATTTCTGTTTCTTATAAATTCTAGTCTTCCAATTCCAGTAATGAGGAGTTACAAGCAAACCTAGCATATTTCCATTATAGATATAAAATCGCCCATCTATATATTAGGGGAATTTATAACTAATTCATTTTCCTGAATATATTTTATGAGATTCAAGACTCATGCAAACTCACCTATGAATCTGTTAAGTTACTTTGAGCAAATAAAGACATATGAAGCAGTAAATAGACACTACTAACTGTATTTAAAGATTATCTGTAGTTCAGAGTCAAGCTATACAATATATTGTTTTCAGGACCTTGAAATATACTCAACAATTTTTATTGTGCCTAAAATATAGGTTATTTACACATGACGCATAATCCACTTATTAGTGCATCTAATTTGTTGTTAGCTTGCCCTTTACTCTCATCTGTGTTTATGCTGATAGTGCCACCACTAAATGTTTTCTCACATTAATTGAAAAAACCTAAATGCATCCCATTATCCTAACTCTTTTTGAAAAATAACATACTGACATACCAAATTAATTTCATTTTAAATAATGTATTTTTCAGATATTAAATCTTAAAACATGGTTTAAACATGTACTTTACTACATTGCTAACAGTAAATCTAGTAGACTCAACTTAGTGTAGTGAAAATCATTGTATATCAAAAACATTTAAATGGTAAAACATAATTAGGAGTCTCACCTGCATCACAATAAAATGGGAAAGATGTACAGTTTTATGATAACTTTCCCTCTCAATATTTAGCTGAGAGAAAAAAATGTTATAGGGAAAATATTTTAATTTAAGAAATTGAATAGGGTAAAATGATGATTGTGAGTTATATCTTATAAAAATCATATATAATTTTTTCTTGGGATTTTTTATCCCAAGAAAGCAAAAGTTTCAAATAAAAGTATTATATGTTGACTTACAATAATTCCTATTAAATTTCAAGTACATTATATTAGAAAGATTACAAAGGTAAGGAATTGACTGCATTCGTGATATATGGTCTGAACATTAAGTTTTAAAAATTCTTAATCTAATATGTACTTTACTTGTCACATGTTAATTTCATCCTCACAATCCATAGTCTAAACATGTGGCTCAAAGGGGCTTTTTGTTATTAAAATAACTGATATATTTAAAAGGTTTTTTAATTTATTGTCTTTTAGATATATTACCATCCACTGCAAACAAAAGGAGAAAAAGGAAGGAATGCATCGTGCAAAAGACAAGAAAGTTGTAAATAGAATGGATATATTGAAAATCTATATTTGAATCTTTATATTTGAATCTTTAAAATGTTTGCACCAAATGAAAAACAAATGGCCCCGCTCTACCATTTCTCACAGAGCAGTCTTACGTGGTTTTCATTTGCCTTGTTTCATTCTTCACTTGGACAGGAACCTCTTAACTGTTTTCTTTCATGTTTTTTTCTTTCTTTTGCCTTCACACACACACACACACACACACACACACACACACTTTTTTCTGTAGTCTCTGCAGTAAAAACTACCATAGTTATCTCATGGAGACGTCTCTTGCAGACGTCTGCCAGTGGATGATAGTGGATCAGGAAATGCTGATTGAGAAAGGGTTTATCTACTTTTCATCCAAAATATGTGAACCATTAAGGAAATTATAAAAAGCAGCAACAATATACTCTGGTTTTATTCAAAACCTTTCCCTTAGCGATTATTAAAAGGATGATATTTTTAGCCAAAGCAAGCAAAATGCATCTGCAGCAGCTGGTTTCCAAGGAAACAGAATAATTTAAAACCATGTGGAACTCTGCTCTCTAATTTTCATCAATTCCCCTTCATTCCTGGAGGTAGCTTTACTAGGAATTTATAATTTCCAAAAAATATAACTGCCTTGATTCATTTCCTCTAACACATTTCAAAAGGTGAACATCTGATCATAGACATATATTTATACACACACACACACACAGCACCTTAAATTCCAATACAACGATGAATTAACTTTAGCCATCATTTTCTTTGAAAAACCAACATAGAAGAATCTATCAATAATTCAAAGCATGGCAAATTTCAGTATCATATAATGATGTTTGAAATCCGGAAATGTTTTAAAACAAACTATGTAAGAGTATTTGAGTGGGTCAATATGAATATGACACACTTTTAGAAACATGTTATTTGTTATATCTAGTACATTGAGGAAATTTTAACTAGTTATCCTTTCATTTATATCTTTGCCCCAATATTCAGTAGTTTTTAATCCATTTTTTAAATTTTGAAACACATTGTTTTTACCTCATATTCAAAGGCAAAATCCATTTTTCAGACAAAAAAAAAACCCTAGCAATTATATTCATTCCTATTAGTCTGTGATTCATTCAACAGAAAATATATGAACAAATCATTATTATAACCAACAAGTATTCATTGATTGCTGATGAGCCCATATAAGTAATAAACTTTCCTAAAATTCCTGTTAATAAAGATCCTCCCATCCCCAGCCTCCCTGGTGGCATAGGGGTTAAGATGCAACCTATGAAGCTAGCAACCTATGAAGCTATCCATAGCCACTGCAGCATGAGTTCAATCCCCAGCCAGGGAGCAACCCACATTGCACAGCAGACCTCTCCTGACTTGCCCACTGCTCCTCTCAGCAGTGTATTTCAGTCAATCTGCATGTTCTGTTCCCCACTGTCTCTGGTGACTCCTCTCACCCCACATACTTCTGACCCCAGTTCTTGTACGCATAAGCAAATCTTTAAAAAAAATAAAACTTCCCCCACTTTAATTGATCTGTATTTATTAATAAAAATAACTTTATACTTAAATAACTTGGAGTAAAATTATTTTGTGTATGTTTTTATTATGAGTGTCATTTAGTCTCCATATTTAAACTCCCCTATTTTACCTTAAAGAAAAATAAAAGAAACATAAAGAAATATAAGCTTCTGGTAAAGTAAAATGTAACTTTTAAGCTGTTGAAAAATTACTGGTCTGAGGATATTATCAACACGGTAAGAGCTGTGAGGGAATACTTATCTAGATATATTTGATTAAAAAATGAGATTACCAGTGAAACTTGCCTTTTAGATGTAATCTTTTAGATGTAATTTTTACAGTATTTTTAATCCTTCACAAATAGGTTACTGAGCATTTAAAATGAAAATGTACCTATGCAAGTGGATACACCACAAATGCAGTTACTTAATCAGTAAAACGTACAACCTACAAAATGATAGAACTGTTCAATCCCACAAGATTTATCAAGACTACATTAAATATAAGGAAGCAAATGCACATAAATCATCATTTAAATTAGAGCAAAAGGAGGCTACAAGCTGCAAACATTATTTTCCTAACCCATTCAGTAGAATATAAATATTAAAAAGACATGAAATTTTATAGTGCATATTCAGAGAAAGCTCCATTTTCTCAGTACCTGTGGAATTTACCAAGCTTTCCTCATTCTTCCTTTGATCCCATTAACTTAAGCTTGAATCACAACAAGAAAAGACACACACGATGACTCATTTTACCTATTAATTTTGTTCAATAACACTGCTTAGAAAGTTATCCAGGATTAGACATGCCTCTGGTGTTTTCATCAGCTAAGAATTTTGCACAGATAAAGAACAGCTCATTGCAAAGCTTCAAGTAATGAAAGGGACGTTCTTTTGGGAAATGCCTTCAGAATAATTTTCATACCCTACAATGGTCTCAATGAGAAATGAAAATCATTGTCTCTGGAAGAAAAATTATTTTTTTCTTTTTTGCTCTTACCTGTAAATATGGTTTCTGTACTTCAGCTCCGTCAGAGAAGACTGAGGAGTTCACTCCTCCCTCATCTATCCATCAGGCTGCAGCCAACCAATAACAAAAGCCAGATCCTGGCATTCTCTGGCTCATGCTCCCTGCTCTGCTTCCATCCCTGTTCCCTCCCACCCCCACTCTTTTAGAGGACAAATCCTTGCAGCTGGGAAAGAGGAAGGGAGGAAGGAAAAGGAATACAGAGAGGATGGGAATAGGGAGATAAAAGACTGAAAGATGTTTCAAGGAATAGGTCCAAACTGTGGAAATGTGTGCAGGTGCACTCAATTGAGATAAAATGCCTTACATTGGATTTAAGAAAATAGGGTTAATCAATGCCTCACCCACCTGAAATCAAAATATACAAAGCAAAACACTCATGTAAAATTAGGTAAATTGCCATTTGTTTTTACTCCCACTGATTTTTTTCAGTGGGGTAGTGAAAAAAAAAATCTCCTCATTGTGTATTTTGATATGTAGATAGGTTGAAACTGAGCAACAAAATAACAGTAGGCATACTCAGTTCATGAAAAGTTGTATTTAAAATAAATCTAGACCCCTTTACACTGATATATCATAATTTGCATTTCAATCTCAGGCACCGTCTCCATCTAATCAGTCTGAAAATATATTTAATCCTTGACAACTAAAATATTCAAAATTTAAAGTTATGTGGCTACCAGCATTACTTTCGATTTCTCAAATGCCAGCATCAATGTGCCTGTGTGAATAACGGGGCTTGTTAAAGATTAAAAAGCATCAGTCACTTGGCTGTCACATTTCAAGGTAACTAACTGAACCCCAACTTTATTTTAATAACCCTGGAAAAAATAATTCTACTTTTGAACTACGGAGCTATAGTATTAAAGAATACTTGAAAAATACATCAAGTTAAAATTGTACACAGCAGCAAAGCAAATTTGTCAGCTAGAAGGTTAGGTTGGGACTAACAAAGGAATTTAAATTATATACAAATTTTATATTTAATTTTAAAAATACAATTCAAGTCACAGCTCTTTATGGTAGAGAGTGCTATTAACTGAGGTTCCCCTGGTAGAGGTGGTCTGAAAATTTCCTTGAAAAGTCATAAACCATGGATGTTATCTACACCCTTAAGGTATGTATTGTCTACCTGTTATAGGACAGGGAGAGGGGCAGCCCAAGCCCCGCAAACCTGCCTATTCTAAATGGGTTCTGCCATCCGCCGCATCAACACAAAACATATGAGACTTTAATGGGAAGGAACTATAATTAAACTAGGAAACAACACAGGTAAGGCAAAAAGTCTAGTTTCTAAATGAAGCACCCAAAGTTACCCATCCCCTCGTGGGTAAAAGTCCATCCATATGGGATTGGCCCAGAACAAGGCCCCAAAGCCTGCCACAAGTCTAAAGCATCTTCCAGTGGGGACCCACAGAAATGGGTCACAAACAACCAGACAAGCCCGGAAGGAAAAGAGCAAAATCAACATCAAGATAAATGCTGCCATTGTCACCTCCCCACGGGTCTCACCCACATCTGTGTCACCCCGTCCACGACCAAAAGACAAGCGCAGTTTCTTCACGTGTCTCTAGGCTCCATGCGCCTCCTCCAAGTCTCCTTGCTCCATCCTGCTTCCTTCCTCCGTCTCTTCTGCCGCTTCTCCTCTTCCTGCTCAGCTCCACCCTCCCTTGGGTGGGGCAGGGAACCTCCCCCTTTCCTGGGGACCACCCTGTTACATACCTTTGCCATTCAATCCCTTAAATCAGTACATTGTCCTTAAGAAAATAAGGCCAAGGGAGAAAAAAGAAAGGAAGTGGCTGACCTCCCTGGTGGTACAAGGTGGTAAGCACAGCACTATGAAGCAATCCGCAGCCTCTGCAGCATAAGTTCAATACCCAGCCGGCCAGGAAGCAACCCATATGGGGAAGCAGACCTCTCCTGGCTCGCCTGCTGCTCTCCTCAGCAGTGTATTTCAGTCCGTATGCTTGTTCTGTTCCCCACTCTGTCTCTGGTGACTCCTCTCATCACCACCATCACCTCTGGCCTGTACCCCAGTTCTTGTATGCATTAATAAATAAGTCTTTAAAAAAAAAAAGGAAGTGGCTCTTTATCGCCAAGACTTAACTGGCACGAGGGCAAAATCATTGGTATTCCAGGAATAGCTATCCAGAAAGGGGCTAGAGTGCCAATCATATTAGGGGGTGGGGGACTGGTAACTTGACCTGAAATTGACTTTCTGTACACGAGCAAAATTTTACTTGGTGTGTGAGATTTTCTGGAGTATCTTTGGGAGGCTCTGCTAGAGATAAGAAGAAAGTTAAATATCCTTATTCCTACCCTAAGCCGTCTACTGTGGAAAATATTAAAACTTGGAAGTCTCTGTGACCCTACTTCTAGGATACCTGGGGTAATCTGTAGGGCAACGTTTCTTAAAGTGGGGGTTGAGGACCATCTGCATCAGAATCGCTGCAGGGCAGCTTGTTAAAAAGCAGATCTGTGGGCCTCATTCCACACTTAAGGAATCAGCATTTGAGGAATGTTGTGACTCAGCACTTTTAGCAAGCTCTCCTGGGTGAATTTTATGCCAACTATGCTGTTGGTCAGTAACTATATAAGTGTTCCTTGGATACAAACGCTAAGAAAATTTCTTTTGATTAGATGATAGCAAAAAAATGAAGGAAAAAGGGGGTTTAGAGGTAAAGTTAAAAATTCAATGTGGATGCTTTGACTTTTGTAATTTTGCAGTGTGAAATATCAAGTTCTCTGTTGAAATCATGGGTAGTTCTGGGATGTTGGTGTAACTGCGAAATTGCCATCATTTAGGGTATGTTTAAGTAAAGACAGTGAATGTGTGCCATTAGTGTTATAGGACAGGGAGAGGGGCACCCCAGACCCCCACAAACCTGCCTATTCTAAATGGGTTCTGCCATCCGCCGCATCAACACAAAACATATGACGCTTTAATGGGAAGGAACTTTAATAAAAACTAGGAAACAATACAGGTAAGGCAAAGAGTCTAGTTTCTAAATGAAGCACCCAAAGTTACCCATCCCCTCGTGGGTAAAACTCCATCCATATGGGGTCGGCCCAGAGCAAGGCCCCAAAGCCTGCCACAAGTCTAAAACATCTTCCAGTGGGGACCCACAGAAAAGGGTCACAAACAACCGGACAAGCCCGGAAGGAAAAGAGCAAAATCAACATCCAGATAAAAGCTGCCATTGTCACCTCCCCACGGGTCTCACCCACATCTGTGTCACCCAGTCCACAACCAAAAGACAAGCGCAGTTTCTTCACGTGTCTCTAGGCTCCAAGCGCCTCCTCCAAGTCCCCTGGCTCCATCCTGCTTCCTTCCTCAGTCTCTTCTCCAGCTTCTCCTCTTCCTGCTCAGCTCCACCCTCCCTTGGGTGGGGCAGGGAACCTGGAACTTCCCCCTTTCCTGGGGACCACCCTGTTACAATCCCCCTTTTTAATTTTTATTCCACCATATCTATGGTGGCACAATCTCAGGGTGTAGTCTTAGGAGACAGTCTTTTTTAGGGTTACAATGTGTATAAGAGAAGCAACAATTAGTCAGCAGCATTGTCTATGAATGTCCAGTATGACAGTTTTCCATTCTGAAAAATAGTCCATTATACCAGCCAAAAGAAAAAAAAATTGGAGCGTTAGCTAAAACAAGACAGCAAATATATCAAAATCACAGGGAAAAAAATGTTAAAATGGTTCAACTGATGTAAAATACAAATTTTCTCAACCTTGATCCCAAACTTTTAACAGCATAGCAAAAGTTTGCAAACTAAATCTACTTTTAAACCATTTTTCCTATTTTTGCATAAAATCACAGGGCAGAAACAACCAACAGCAATTTCTAGCTGGCTTTGTTGAAGTACTCCATATAGGATCAGAGCGAACCATTGGCATCCGGTCGATGTAGGCTTCAGGTATAAAGTTGGTCTCATCAGACTCCACCTGGGCTTTCCTCTTCTCGAGGGTACCAGGGCTTTTTCGTTGGCCGGGTTGTCCAGTCCTGCCAATGGAGGCAAGCTTCCTCACCTTCTTTGGAGGTCTCTGGAACCCTACAAACAAGGCAAACAGGTTCTCCTCTTCTTGGTTCAGCTCTTTTTCAACTTTCTGGAAGAACTCCACACAAAGCCACACAATCAAACTCACGTCCAATTTTCGTTAAAACAGACAAAATCCCTATGGAAGTTATGCAAAAACAGACTCTGAAATAAGTAGCAAAAATTACTACCACTATTTGTATGCTGTGTTGGTATCAAGGGGAGAGAAAATGTGACAAGTTAGCTTTGCTGGAAAAAAATTACAACCTTTCTGCAGATCCTGGTTAGTCAAAACAAAACAAAACAAAACAAAAATTTCGTGGATTCAGGACAGAATGCATAAAAAAAAAAGTTCCAGTATTATGTCAAAGAAACCTTAGTAAATGTCAGGTGTATTTCCAGGTCTATTGAGTCCTTTGTAAGAAAGTTTTACTCTCAACAGTTCCATCAATAGGAATCTGTTGAGACCTTTTCTCCCTATATTTCCAGAAACAATTTCTGTAGATGTGAAACAATTGAATTATACAATATTACAAGGTGACAATCACCACTGACAATTTACATACATACCCGATACTACTGTTAACATATTGGACATACCAAAGTTTTTTTACCATTTTCCCAAGTGACAATGCTTCCCTTCCAGTTTTACTTCATTAGGTAAAAGCCAAATAGAACAAATTTATGTAATGCTTTCCCAGGAGGAAAAGGAGAAACTTCGTGGAGTGTCTCAGGAGCTCTACTGAGGTTCCACAAAATTTCCTTGCATCAGTCAAATGACAGGCCACCAAATTTGTACTTGAATTTAGATTTCTGGGAAGCTTTGCCATAAATATCAGAAAAGTAACAGAAACAACAATATTCAATCTCTATGAAGGCACCGGCTTAGTTCAGTAGCACAATGTTGACAATCAAACCATAACTTTTTGTTTTTCTCATAACTGGAGACTCTTTTTTTCAACTTATACGGGCACCATGTATACCAAT